TCCAAGAAGGTATTAACCATGTTCCCTATCAAATGATAAGTAGGTGTAAGGGGATGTGAACCTAATAATTGAAACGGACTGAGGACAGTACGCTCTTATTTGGTATCATATGTCTAACTTGAGTATCTATGCTAATAGGAAAATTATATTTATTTATTTGTAGCTACATCCAGAATTATGTATTATATCAAACTTCTTTATATATTCTTTTTTATCTTTCTTATTGTTTAAATAAATATTCTTGTAGATATTTACAGTATCCTTGTAGATACTATTTAATTATTTCTACATCTTTGAGAATATTCTAAAAACAATTTACGGTGTTAAATTTCGTTATTAGGGTACCCTTCCCGTAAACGGACAACTCTCATAAACGGACAAATTTTTTGGTCCCATGAATGTCCACTTAACGGAGGTTTCACTGTATATTTAATAAATTAATTATATAGAAAAATGGAGAAAGAAATTTAAAAAAAGTATAATTTTTTTTAAATTTCAAATAATTAAAAGAATTTAATTTTCTGCAACTATGTTATTAAGTTTACTGACTAAAATATTTAATGCTTAGGACACCAATGTTTATCTAAAAATTATCGTGTTTGCTGTTAATATGACTAAATATGCGTGCAGCACTTTGTTAATCTACCTGCTGTGCAAGTGGCCCTTTTCCCAAAAAGGTTGTGCACCCCTACTATACATAATTATTAACTTAATTTATGCTGCATATAATTTATTTAGAGTTTCATGTTGTGAAAATATCAATGACTTAAATTTATAAACACATTTGAAATTCAGCATTAATGATTTTACTCAAGAAATTTTCAGGATTTTTGACCCCTGTTTTCTCTATTCCATACTTTTTATTTTTGGATAATGCATCACTTTTTAAGGATAAGTGTTGCATTTGTGTTCAAGTAACAAAGTTAAAAACACCAGATATTATTTTATGACTACTCTGCATATGATCCTTTAATTCAATTGTTTCCAGGGTGTCCGCGCTCCTCGAAAGTCATGAATTTCGGTATAAACAAAGTTAGTCATGAAATGTCATATATTTAACTATTTTTTAAAAAAAAATCATGGAAAGTCATGGATTTAGGTCGCCAAATTGGTCTAATTTTTAAAATGAAATCCCCCCCCAATTTTATGGTGTTCCGAATATCTGAATTTCTAACAAAATCCCCACTCGCAGTCATATTTTATTAAAATATAAGATGTTTTTTCAAAAAATGAAAGAAAAAACATCATTTCCAGAACAAATTATCATTTAAACTTCTGTGATTTCAGAATTTTTGTTTATTTTTTATTTTATTTTATCAATTTGGAATTCTAACGGAGGCAAGCCAGTCATTGGCTAATTTTTTTATATTCTGAACTGAGAAATGAGAAAAATCAGGAGTATTTCTTTCCTTTCTGATGAACAAGGAAAGTATCTTTAGAAAATAATTCTGCAGAAAACAAAAATTAGTTTCTGTATTTTTTTCACTTATTTTATTGCTTCAACTCTTTCTTTACTCTGTTTTTTTAAATTTGAAATCTATAAATATGATGATGCAGAGTATAACTGTTTTGGTTATACCTATCATTTCAATTAATGTTATTATAATGCTTTTCAAATTTATTGTTGTATTTTACTAGAAAATAGTAACTTCGTTGTAGAAAATAGTAAAATTGTAGAAAATAGTAACTTCGTTAAGTCATGAAAAGTTCTTGGAATTAGTCATGAATTTGAAAATCTAGAGTGTAGCAGATACCCTGGATTTCATGCAGCCTCCCTATCTCTAGAAAAAGTTAAGCAATTTTTAATTGAAATTCCATAAAAGATAATTTATTTCTATAATTGTTATTATTAAAAATAGATTTTTGATAAATTTTTCCATTTAATTATTGTTTTTTTACCGAAAGTACAAAATTCCTTGTTGATGAGATATTTTAACTGAAAAATGATAAGCAGAAAAATGTTTCTTGTAAGGAAATGTTACTTACTAAAAATCATTTTTGTTATATCCGGAAATCCGGATGTGAAAAAATCCGGATTTTTCGATGAACGCGATCGGGAACGTTCAAAAGTTTCAAGAAACTATTGATCACATTTATGTATTTAAAAAAATTTTATGTTTTATTTAGAAATATTAGAACTCGAATTTATACTTGTCATCTCTTTCATTTGTAAATATTTTTTCTAGTAGAATAATAAATGTGATTAGAGATAAAAGTAAACTTATGCATAATTATTCATTTAAATTATGCTGCATATAATTTATTTAGAATTTCATGTTTTGAAAATATCAATGATTTAAATTTATAATGTTAAATTTTTGCAATATGTAATTAATGATTTTATTGGAGACATTTTCAAGATTTTTGAGTTGGGCTCACAATCACCCCTGAATATTAAATTGGAACTTTCTGAAAAATTGCTGTTTTATTTGAAAAATCAATGTTTTTTGAAGAAGTTTTGTGACATGTAGAGTTAGAATGCTCTGAATGTTTTCCCTTTTCAAGTTGAACAGTATTTGTTCAACTGCAAACTTTTCATAGACATAATTAAAAAAAATGAAAAACTTTCTGCGAGCACAAAATCTCAACTATTTTCGATTGTTGTGGTAGTTCTTTTACATTGCACTAGAGCTGCACAATGGACTATTGTTGACGGTCTGAGAATTCTGAAGGATAGTCTGGAGACGTGCCATCACAATTTTATGCCTCTGGAGAAGGGATGGCACCCTCGCTTCTGAAGCCCGACGACTTGCGCACGAAGTCACCCTCCGTAGACTGATTCGAGTGGTCACCCACACGCATACTGACCGCAGCCAGTGATGCTTGACTTCGGTGATCTGCTGGGAACCGTATCTGAAGAATCAGTCCACTGGGGGACTCGACAAAATGCATGCATTGATTAAAGTTTGAAGCTACTAGTTTCAATTCTTTAGTCGCTGCTTCATTTGAAAATAACTGATTTTTTTTTAAAAAAGCGAATGTCTAATTTTTATATCATTATTTTAATAAACTCTATATTGATTCATATCATTGGGATGAGTTTGGTAAAAAAAAAACTGAAAATAGAAATTCGAAAATGCTCAAAAACACTGTTTAAAGAATTTAGAAATAAAAAGCTAAAATTTAAGCAAGAAAAAAAGTGTATTTAGTAAGCATTTATCCACGGAATGTTATCAATATTTCAGTAAAAATATTGATGTGAGATTTTATTTAAATTCTGTAAATTTGAATCTCAATGTGTGGTTTTTAAATCGCATGAATACGAATCTTGTAAATAAGTAATATGTAAATAAGAATCTCTGTGTCTAATTTTTAAATTGCTATAACACAAATTTGGATGTTTCATTTTAAAATTGCCCGAATACAAATTTCAATTGACTTCAAAATGTGTAATTTTTAAGTTACATGAAAGCGAATCTTAATAGTAGCTTTTAAATTGCATGAATACAAAACGTGCAATTAGATACAAAGTTGTAAAAATACGGAACACAACATGCCGTCTTAATATTTGTTTTCTTCGTAATTTGATAAAGACAAAACTTATTTTAAATAGGGGGATTATTTCTCTCTCTTTTTTTTTATAGTAACAGTAAAAAAATTTCCACGTTGGTGACGAATTACCTTCGAAACAGATTTGCTCATAGAGCCCAGTTCATAGTTTCCTTCCACATTGTGTCGTGATTTTTTAAATGGTATTTTTTTTTTAATTATTTAAAATAATTTTGTATGAAAAGAGAAAGCAAATTATAACAGTACATTAAGAAAAAAAAAAGAAACTTAATACTTTATATAGAAACTTGTTTGTTATTTTCAATGCATTAGCTCACCTTTTTCATCAATCTGATATTCAATTTACCAAAGTGTACTGCACATATGATTGAAAGATTTTATTTGACTCTAACCCTTTTGCTTATTTTATATAAAAAGTGAGCCACTCTTGGTCATTTGAACCAGTGTTCCCCAACCTTTTTATTACCGCGGACATGTTGACATTTGATAATTTGATTTATTAATTTAAATTTAATTGTATTTAAACATGCCTTCAAAATAAAAAACAGTTACGCACCAAAAAATAAATATAAAGTGATTTAACATTTTAACTTGCTAGAGCGTTAAGTCAATGAGTCACGATCGAGAGAGAAGACGAAGTTCTTTATTATTTCCAATGTAAATTTTGCGCTTCGCTTTTGTTTTTTATTTATGATATTTACATTTATGATTGATTTTTTTAAAAATTAAAACTAATTGAAAGAGAAAATAGTTGTAATGTTTTTTTTCTTTTAAAAACATTATAAAAATTATGTCACTACCTTCGGGGAGCCCCTTTTTTTAAATAAATAAAATTTTAATGGAGTGCAAATATTTTTAATTTGGGGTATAAACCTAGGAATTTGAATTCAGTTTCAATGAAATGGGCGGCCCAGTACCAGTTGATCCATGAACCGGTCCATTGACTGTGATTTAACGGGGAACACTGATTTAAACAACTTTAACTTTTTATGTATGGAAAGAGTTTTAACCACACACATTGTGACTATATCAGAGTTTTAAAAAAAACTAAAGCTACAGTCAAACCCTGCTATAGTGAACACGGTTTATAGTGAACTCCCGGATATAGTGAACGAGATGTCCCGTACCTTGTTATACACGTATAATGTTATTTTTTGTGGATATAGTGAACCAAAAAAGTGAGGAAGTTGGATATAATGAACTTTTTTCTACCTTGGACTGATTTTTTTCTTCATTTTTTTTTGTAATAAGTTTGAAATTTCTACTTCAAAATAAATACATATACAAGCGTTCAAAACCATCTAAAGAGGGGAATGTAGCGATAAGCATTTTTTCTTGTTTGCTTCTTTTATTTCACTTTCTTATCCCTAAACAAACCAAGCAGATGTTTCCTACCCAGGCAGATGATGCACCTATAAGGTGTCAGTGGGATCAATATGCATTTTCTGTCAGAGGGAATGAGTAATTATTTATTATTGGTCAAAGGGTTTGACACTAATATGTGTTGATAAGGCCCTCATTTCAACTCCTCTTTGCTCTCAGTTCAGTTAAAAAAAATGCAAATAAGTGTCTCAAATTTAACTATGGGGACCAGTAAACGTAAAACGTTCTCCATTAATGATAAAATGGAGGAGTTTGGGAATCATTAGTTAAATTGCATGCGTAATGGATATAGTGAACCCCCGGTTATAGTGAACCAAAATGTCGGTCCTTTGAAGGTTCACTATAGCGGGGTTTGACTGTATTAGATAAAGAATCATGTTTATTTTAAAATTTCAGCAGTTATGATAGTTAAATGCATCTCTATTTTTCAGAAAATAATAACTAAAGTTATGGAACAGGAAGCTGGTGATAGATTAAAACCAAAATTTACCATCTCGGATAGCTCCAAGTTTTATCGGGACGTAATTCTCAATTGGAAGCCAGCAAGTGAAGTGTAAGTATACTTTCTGTATCATCTGGAATGGCATGATTTAAATCACTTGATTTTTTTTAAAAAAGTGATTGGTTCAAATAGCTTTTATTTATTTTTTAAGCAAAAATGAAATCGATTCAAGTCAACTTTGTTAAATAGAAATATTCTTATATGTTTAATGTATGCACATTTAATTATGAAATAATTTATATTTAATATAATTACAGGGTTGCCACAGGCAACTAAAATGCCTCTTTTTTCAGCATGAGGCAACTTTCTTTTGCCTGAAAATGCTAAAAAAGCAACTATTTTCTGGAAAAGGAGACTTTTCTGCACTCCTAGCAATGTTTTTTTTAGCATAAAATGGGTTGAAAACCTGTGGGATCTTCTGAACACACTGAATTTCTTTTCTTAAAAAATAAATGTTAAAAATTTTGAATTTCAAATTTGAGTCATCGCTTTTTGAGGTGTTCAATTTGCACAGATTCCATCATAAATCTATTTCGTTTCTCGATCGCCTTTTCAATGTTTATTGCTGGGTCATTCCACGTCAAATCATACAGGATTTTACAAAAATGGCACCCACCATCTCAGATTTTGATAAAAATTTGTACACTTATAGGATTTTTTGTGCTGATTTCAAAAATATCAATTTTATTTAAATCGGTTAAGGGGTTCAAAAGTTAGAAGCATTTATATTTTTGTCGAAATGGCACATTTGTAACCATTTTGATTCATACATCAAAGGCTATTAATGATTGTAACTTACTTTATATTTGTCATAGAGCAATAATTTTTATTTTATTTTGTTCAGAATAAAGTNACCAGTTCCAACTTCCCGGATTTTTTTTTTTTTTTTTTTTTGCAAATAAGTATCTTACTTATTTAGTAAGTGGGTCTATTTTGCAGTTTTTTGATCAACGGAGTAACTTCAGGAGATGATTTCTGGCAACTCACCCCCTTCAATTTCAAAAAAATTTTATTCAGAGATAGTTGAAAGTGCAAACTAACATCTGATATAAAAATTTTGATGGGCTAACTTTTTAAGAAAAAATATTTTTCTTATGCATTAAAAGTACTGGTAGTTTGATGATTTATAGTCCTTATTTGTAACTAGAGTACAATAAAATGATATAAAAAAATGTGAATGGTAGAAAAATATGTAAAATTAAATATATTTCATTAAATTATTTTTTTCTTCTTTCTTTGAAATGAAATGATTTTATATCACTGATAATTTGTATCAGTGATATAAAATCATTTATCTGATAATTTGTATTCTTTTATTTCATCACTAGCACCTGCAGGCCTTTTTTATTCTGTAAGACTTTTATTATAATTATATACAGCCAATATTTTATAAAAAAACCCTTCTGAATAGAAAAAAAAATACTGAAAACTATTGACACATCAGGGTTCCCATGGTACTTGAAAGTCTTTGAATTTGGTTAAAAAAAATCAGGGCCCCGAAAAGTCCTTGAATTCTGCCATAGGGTATTTGAAAAGTACTTGATTTTTTAGGAATTACAGGGATGAGATTTTTCCGCTTTTTAGCGGATTTCCGCATTTTTCACTTTTATCTCTTGAATTTCAGCTTTTTTATCAAAAATTCAGATTTTCTAAAAATTTCACTTTTTTTTATAGGTATTCCGCTTTTTCAGAAAATTCACCGATTTTCAAAGAGAAACAGAAAATTCAAACTACACAGCTACCAATCCTTTCTCATTTTTACTTATTTTAGCTATTTTCTCCCCTTTTACCCGCAGCAGATAAGATTTTCCGAATTTTTTACCCGTCCTCCAGATCAATCCGATTTTCGCAGTTCAAACGACGCTGCATCTGACAAACCTTTTAGAGGTCCCAAGCCTGGAATCTGCTAATATCTCGACTCTTATTCATACGATTTTAATATCAAACATAGCTTTTACTATTTGCGTGTTGTGATTCTTATTCACGCGATTTGAATACTGTACGTTGGGATTCTTATTTACGAGATTTAAAAATCCGATATTGTGATTGGTATTTACGCCTTTTTAAAAACCTATGTCGCGATTCGTATTCACTCAAGTTTAAAATTCAATGTCTTAATTTGCTCATGCGGTTTATAATATCAATCATTGATTTTCGTATTTATACATGATTTTAAAATAAGGCATTAGGATTCGCATTCACGCACTCTAAAAATTATGCATCATAATTCTTATTCATGCAATCTAAAAATTAAGCATCGTGATTCGTATTTACGCTATCTAAAAATTATAAATTGTGATTTGTATTTACGCGTTTTAAAAATTCTATATCCCAGTTTGTATTTTCTCATTTTCAAAATCGTATATCTAGTTTCATATTCATGTGATTTCAAAATCCATAATTGTTATTCATATTCACGCAATTTTAAGATCAACTATCGCGATTCTTGTAAGAAGTAAATTTTTTTAAAATTAGTTACTATAAAGGTGACTGTTTTTCTAACGACGATTATTAGTATATGTAAGTGTTACAACATCAGAGAAACTGGAAGGGAATATATTCAAAACTTACATTCTGTGCTTGCAAAGAAGAAAAAATAGGATTTGTCACAAGATGTTTGAAGATGGACTAACGACTAAATATAGCAAACATAAAAGATATAGCAAACAAAAGCAATCACTTAAAAAGGGATTTAATTTAAATTTTTTTTTTTTGGAAAAAGAGTTAATTAACTCATCATCAAAATTTTATTTATAATTGCTGTTATTTATGCTATAAAATGCAAAATTCTTATCAAATAAAAAACAATTATCTAAACAGTTGCTGATTGTCATGTAATTTTTCAAACTAAAATAGCAATTTTTGTATGTTAAGGAGTTACTATATATTTCTACTTCACTGTTATTGATATGTTTCAGAGGGCTCTAGTTAGATTAGACTATAATATGAACATAATGATTCGGTCCATTGTTAAAGTTTTTTTTCCCAATATAATTTAAAAAGTAATATTACTGATATATTTGCTATAAATCACATAACAGTATTTATTAAAAGAAATGAAATATTAATGTATATTCTCAGTAGTTTTAATTTGCTAAACCAGGTAGTTTTTCAAGTAATAATTGTCTCTTATGTGAACTGAGGGAAAATATAATTTCCAGCTTTATTTTTTCAATTGGTAATTTTTATTTTTACTAAATGTTAAGTATCATTGTAATTATTTATATAATAATAGATTAGTACACAATTGTATGTCAACACATTATTTATTACCTTAAACTGCCTGGAATTTATTATTTAAGGGTTGCACTTGCGTAAAATTTACTATCGTGGAAATTCAGCTTTTTTGCCTTTTGGCTAATCTCATCCCTGGAATTAAAAAACTACTAACTTTTAGGAAATAAAATAGTACTTCTTACAAAAAAGTAGTAAAAAAATAATAAATTCAAAGGAAAATTATAGAAATTCTGATTGAGGCAATTTTTAATACTTGAAGTGAAAAGGGGTTACAGAAGATGCAAAACTTTTCTCTCCGAGATTTTTCCGACCAGATTATTGTTCATCTCTCTGGTGTTTTGAAAGCTGAAATTTCTAGCAAATTTTAGGTTTTGTAGTCATAGTTTTCGAATAATATATAGTGTTTAATTGATCTAAAAATATGTTCAATGTGTTAACTTCATTATTAGGACAGGTTATTATTGTTATCCTATTTGTTCTCTTAATTTATGTACTAAGAATAATTAATTTTTTATCATTTTTAAATAAATTTTTACTGCTAATAAGTAAAATGTAGTTCTACAGGTTTTATTGATTATGAATAAACATCGTGATTCACATTAAAGTGATTCTTGATTTACAGATCGGAATTCATATAAAATGTTCCACGAATTGCGGTTTAACTGAAAGTGATTAATGAATCACATATTGAATGTTACTTTAAAGTAATTTGCAAATTACTCATCAGAATTCATAATAAGGTACTTTATAAATCACACATCATGATTCACATTAAGTGATTTATCAATCACACATCACATCAATTAAAGTTATTTCTAAATCATATAATGTATTTAAGTTATTTCAGAATCATGCCTCACAATTCCCATTCTGGTTATTTACAAATCACGCATTGTGATTCACAAAAGAGAGATTTAAGAATTACCACTCATATTTCTCATCAAAATGTTTTAAGAATCACACATAGCTGTTCTATATTAAGCACCTTTTGAATCACAAATTGCAATTTGCATCATAATGATCACTATTCACATGAAAACAATTAGCTAATCATCCAGCAGAATTCACATTAAAGTGATTTATGTATCTCACATTATGGTTTATGTCTTGTTAGTTCGTGTGTTTTGTATCATTTGCTATTTATATTATTCCGGTTTAAGAAACACACACCGCAATTCAATTTAAATTTACAAATCACGAATTGTGATACGTGATTCACGCAATCTTCGATACTTACTTCACCTTTCTTATAACTTTGATTCCCATATAGTATATCTTGATTTGTATAAATGCGATTTAAAAATTATGCTTAGTAAAAATTACGCATTATGACAACCCAAGTATTATGTAGTATTGGATTAACTTTGAAAGATTTTAAGTGCAGTTTAAACTTGCAGAAGATTTTAGAACTTTCTTCTGAGAATATAGAACTTATTTCATTAAGGAGCAATTTAGATTTTAAAAAATGTTATAGCAATCCCTGGTCAGAAATTGTGCTCCTGATGCAGAAATTGTGTTTGTCTTGTTCATTCTCAAATTTTTCCCGTTCTTTTCTTTTTTGAAGGGAAGGGGGGCTCAAAGAAAGAAGGGAAAAAAATAATTTAATAAATGATTACTTCATTTTACATATTTTTTTCTACCATTCCCATTTTTTTATATCATTTTATTACACTCTAGTTACAAATAAGGACCATAAATCATCAAACTACCAGTACTTTTAATGCATAATAATTCATTAGAAAAATATTTTTTTTAAAAAAGTGAGTGAACCGCCCATCAAAATGTTTATATCAGATGTTAGTTTTCACTTTCAA